CTTAACCTTTAACTTCATCCCCGTCAGGCATAAATTAGAAACTAAAACGAATTTTCTTATTGTCCATTACCGTTCCAATTACCCCAGAGGCAACTAGGAGAGACTTGATGCTTGATGAAAATTCGATAAACTACAGGATCTTTAAATTGAAAAATGATTCTAGAGCCTAATTTATTTATCTAGAAATCAATCATAGACGGATCGTTTTATTTGTACGATTGAAAATTGAATTTTCGAAGACGAAAACTAGGTAGGTATGCATATTTAATGGGGCTTGTTATTGGCCAGAAGCACTTCTAAATTAAGATAAATCATCCAGAGAATTGGAAAATGTGATTTCCAGGCTGTATTTGTCTCTGCAGAAATATTGGCTTGTAGGTATCTTGAAGATTTTATTTCAGTCCGGGAAATGGCACATTAAGTCACTAGTCCAATTACGTAGCATTATCGGACTCCTGTCAGTTTTGTATTGACACCGGACTGCTGTCAAGATATTCCTCTGTAGTTTCCACATTAAGTCTGTCTCCCTTGTTAAAAATGGAAACTATCTTCAAGTTCAGCAGGTATGGTCTCTACAGTTATCTTTATTTTATTTATTAGGGTGTGGGTTTGGGCCTCCTTTTTGAAATTAAAGGATAAAATGAAATCCATTATTTTTCTGTTACAACACAAAGGAGCTTATGGTTAAGTCCATATAGGCTCTTCCTTAGATGACAAACCCTATCTGTACCATCATTGAAATCCGCTGGCTGTTTCATGTATACTTCTTCTTGAAGCTCACCATATAGAAATGCTGTACAGGGTGTTTTTTAATATATTGACACCCCACCTACAGCCTGTACCTTTACAGGTGTAAATACAAAAGTTGTACCGTATTGGCTAAATTAATAGAATCCATGATAAGAAACAAAAATTGAATGCCAGAAATGTGAAATGTTGCATGCTTTCAGCTTTTTCCAAATGGGATGCTCTATATTCCAAAACTATATAGTTTGTCTATATTTAGTTGAGCCATCTCGAACATATTTGGTTCTAAAAATTTTAAAAATACTATCAGAGAAACCAAGTAGGTACCTCAAATTTTACCTGCAGCATTCACGTGTACAGGGTGGCCCAAATTCGAGCCTCATCAATGGGATCTCGGTAACCGTAAGAGGTACGGGGTCGGTTAAATTATGGTAAAGTTGCGCAATTTTATGACCAATAGAATTCTGAATACTTCCGGAGATATTCGGAAAAAACCGAAATTTTATAAAATCGCTTTTATTTTTTCCCGGGCTTATTTGAAAAGCAATTTTAAAATAAATGTCACTTCATCATTGTCACTTTTTCCCCTTTAGAAGATGGTGCTACTATATTTGAAATTCGACGTTTCGTCTTCAGGCGGCCATCCTCAACTTGCGTTTTTCAAATACGGATCTAGATTTTTTATTTGCGATTTTGTCATCTTTAGGCATCCTAAAACCGATACTGTTTATAATTTTCCAATAACACAGTAAAAAAAGCAGGTCCGTATTTAAAAAATAAATAAATTGATGATGATTCCAGAGGAACGAAACGTTGGATTTCAAATTTAATACCGCCATCTTGTAGAGAAGAAAAAGTGACAATGAGAATGTGAAATTAGTTTTTCAAAATCTTTTTAAATGGAATCAGGAAAAAATTTAAGAAAAACGAGAAATTCCTTTTTTTTTGTATAGTTTTCACTTTTTCCTGATTTTATTTAAAAAGATTGTGAAAAACTAATTTTATATTCCCATTGTCAATTTTTCTTCTCTACAAAATGGCGGTATCAAATTTAAAATCCAACGTTTCGTACTTCTGGAATCATCATCAATTTTTTTTTTTTAAATACGGACCTGCTTTTTTCACTGTGTTATTGAAAAATTATAAACAGTATCGGTTTTAGTACCCAAAAAAAACGTTACTTATTCCTGATGAAAGGCAAATTGACAAAAATTGAACAATCGTACAAATTTTTACTTACATAATAAGTTATTGTTCAAGTACAAATAAGTGGATTGTTGCGGAACTTATGGGTGGACCTCTACGGGACGAGCGCAGCGAGTTCCGCAGCCATTTATTTACCAATACACTGTTGAACTATTCAAATAAGACACTCAACTGAAACGTGTAGTTTTTGAACTAATGAGAATAACTGACATTTGAGTAAGTCAGGTTAGTATTGTACTTGAACAACATATTGGTAAATAGATGGCTGCGGAACTCGCTGCGCTCGTCCCGCAGAGGTCCACCCATAAGTTCCGCAACAATCCACTCATTTGTGCTTGAATAACTTGTTACATTATGTTACTAGTTTGGTAAAGTAGGTAACATTACTAATTCCGTTAAAAGTCAAATTGACAAAAAGTGGATAATCTTACAAATTCTGACTTTACATAAGTTATTGTTAAAATACAGGGTGTTTTTTTATATATTGACACCCCATTTACAGACTTTACCTTTACAGGTAGATGAAAGGTATAAATACAAAAGTTGTACAGTATTGGCTAAATTTTTAAAATCCATGGTCAGAAACAAAATTTGAATGTCAGAAATGTGAAATGTTGCATGCTTTCAGCTTTTTTCAAGTGGCATGCCCTATATTTGGTTTTATATTCTTGAAGAGCACAATTTCTCGATTCCGAAATTATATGGTTTGTCTATATTTGGTTGAGCCGTCTCCAACATATTTAATTCTGAAAATTTCAAAAATACTATCAGAGAAACCAAGTACCTCAAATTTTACTTGCAGCTTTCACCTGTACAGGTAGAATAGTTCACAAAATCAGTAGTAGGATAGTATTTTTACAATTTTTGGAGCCCAATATATGAGAAACTGTTCAATCAAATATAAACAAACTATATATTTTTGCAATCCGGGCATTGTGCTCTTCACGAATATAGAATGAGACATAGAGTATCTCATTTGGAAAAAGCTGGAAGCATTTAAAATTTCACATTTCTGACATTCAAATTTTGTTTTTGACCATGATTTTTAAAAATTCAGCCAAAACTGTACAACTTTTGTATTTACACCTTTCTTCTACCTACCTGTAAAGGTAAAGGCTGTAGGTGGGTGTCAATATATAAAAAAAAACACCCTGTACATACATCAAACTGGCCTAGACTTAAATTTTCACTGGCATATGGACTCAAAACACATCGTATTGTAGCCAATCTAGCAACTGGGTTAAATGTCTCATCATAATCTTGATATTTCTTCTGTGAATAACCTTTTGCGACTAGTCTGGCTTTGAATTTATCTATAGAGACATCTCGATTGTATTTTTTTGATATAGCATTTTTACCATTGGGTAGCTTTCCTTAAGCCCAAACACAGTTCTCCTCTAAAGACTTCATTTCTCTTCCCATAGCCATTTCCCAGTCATTTGGTCTATTACTTGACATAGCTTCTCGGTACATGATTGACTCATTTATTTCCATAATGTTTGCAGCAACCATCATAGCGAAATCTTCAAACCTGGCAGGTTTGTGTATCTGATTTCTATTTCTCAGTTGTCTACTCGGTACATTTGGAACTTCTTCTGAAATGTCATTATCCGGTGATTCTACTAAGATGTCAGAACGAGTGTCAGAAAAACTATGATTCCCCAAACTATCATTTCATTCACCGTCATGTCCATTGTTTTCTCTAGTTTCTTGTTCTGGAGTAGGTACCTTCCCTGCTTCTGACAATTTTACAATTGTTTTGCTGAGAAGTTCCAACAGGGTCTTCCAACAATGGCAACGTTGAAGTTATGAGTGTTTCATCGCATATCACATCTCTCGATCTGACTATGATAGTTTCTTGGTCATATCCTATAAGTATGCGTCTTCCACTGCCTTTTTATCAATTTTCTTTCTCCCTGACTTTGGTACATGGGCATAACAGGATGTTCCAATAATTCTCATGTGTCCTCAAATTAAGAGGAAAATACGAAATATATTTTGACACACTAATACAAAAGCGATTAATTAATTGACACTCTGTCATACACCTTTTTAAAATCTATATATATAAAAATTAATGCCACTTTTCGTTGTAATTTTATAACTCAAGAACGGGCTCACCTAGCCAAACCAAATGTTTAGGCTTTGTTCGGACCATTTATTAGATGGTTTATGTGAAATTTGCACAAAATCGGTCGAGCTGTTCTTCATTTATCACATTTTTTGTAATAAATGAATTATTCAATAAATGGAGGATCATTTTGTTAATGGGGATTTTGCTGTCAAATTGAAACTTTTTTAGCGTTGACAGTACCAGCATGTTTTTATGTCATTAATGTGGTCATTTCATTACTTATTTTATTTATTTATGAAAAAAATTACTAAGCCCGCATACGGCGCCATCTCTTATAACCGATACCAAGTTTATTTTGTATTTTGTATACCGCGCCATTTCTGATACCTGGAACGAAGCTCGGCATTGCAGATACAGTAGAACAATGCTGCTCGGGAACTGGAGCTATTTCGAACAGAACTATTCCACTATTCCGATCAGATAGAGTGGTGCAGAAAGAGTAGATCAGATAGAGTAGTGCAGATAGAGTAGAACAGATGGAGTAGTGCAGTGCATGCAGTGCAGATAGAGTGAAACAGGGCTGCGCTAGGAATTTTTTTTGTTTTCTTTACATTCTTTGAACATTCCTGTGCCTGACTTTATTTATTTGGTGGTACATATTCTTTGGTGGTACACTTCACAAGAATAATGCCCACAAGCTGCCTAAAAAAGGATGAGGTAAAATTTTAATTTTAGGTGACTTCTGATCCAGAGAGTAAACATTAATTTTCTTCAACCAAAGCCAAATTCACCATCGGAAAAAACTGAATTTAATTCAGCTTATAGATACGTTAACACAACATTTAATAGGTCTATTTAATAATTCAGAGGCGGTACGAAGTTCGCCGGGTCAGCTAGTATAAAAATAAATGACTGGTCTTAAGACTTCCATAAACATGTAGAATGTTCTTCAACAATTTTTACTTATTTACAGAGTGAAGAGAGTATCAGATCCACACTTTTCGGACTTAGAAACCAGAGTTGCTCTGCACAAAATCAACGGCATCGCCATAACGTTGCCAGTGGCGGCTGGCAGAGATCTTGACAAAATGTAAGTATCTATTTGAATTATTCTTCAAATTATAGCTTTTTATTTAAAAAGAAACAATTAATCAAAACAAAAAAACGAGAAACTTCGTTGTAAAAAAAAGTAAACATTTTAAAGCTGTTCAAAACTTTATGATTTAATAAAAAGATTCTAATAAAGCGTCAGGAAAAAAAAAATGATGATTGATGGTGGTAGGTTTAAGGGTTGCGCCATACGATCTGAACTTTCCAGGTTAATAAAACTTTTTCAAATATTAACTATTTTAAATTGAATTTTGTTTCGCCAACTAATGCCTATACTAAGGTCATAAAAATTACCTACTTGCCAAGAAAAAGGAAGCCATTCAAGTCTTCTTGCCTACTTAGTAACCATCTCTATTTTCGGTATCGAACTTAAATGGCTCGCTAAAAATTTTACCCTTTGTGAAAAGGAATACTTTCTAAAAAGGTTAATTTAGAGAAAAATTGAGGAAAGTCTCTCTCTCAGAACCTAATAGGATTCCAAAGTTGATATTTTAATTTGAGAGCCTCTTTCCGAAGGCCGGATATTTAATTATAGAAACCCTATAAAAAGAAGGCACAGAAAATTGATCTAAATAATTTATCAATTACAGATTTTACTCAATGATAATTTGATAAACTGATGGTTCATGGGATTTAGGCTCAACTTCCTTCGCTTTATGAATTGTTGCAGTTTATTTTTTAAATCTCTACTGGAACATGTATTAGCATTTTTGAAATCTCAAAAATTTTGTATTAAAGATACAAGAATCTTAAACAAAGCTACTATTGGTCGGTAAAAAAGCAATCAAAGACTCATTAATAACATTTTTTGATAATTACTTTTGCGATGATGGCAGTTATGAATTAAGGCAGTAAGTAATCTCTTTGGGTCAATGATTTAAAAAATAAATGATTATCGATTGTACACATTAATGTAGTTATGTTGTAAAAATTGTATTTATTTATTTTTATGCTTAAAAAATTATCTTTTTTAGAAATATGCCATAGTTTATCATTTTTAAATTTAATTTTACTGTACAAGATACAAAATAATCCGAATTGAGTTTATTGGTGAAAGAATAATTTTCTCTTCTTGTTTTAATTTTTTTAAATTTTGATTGTGGGTATATTCTAGTTGTTCTGAAGTAAGGTTGCTTGAATTGGTTGTTCACGATCAGGTACTGCCTTATTCAAACAATATCGGGCTACACTCTGCTCTGATTCTTCTGATGCATTAGCCTTAGTTATTAAAAAAACTTTTACCTACGAGCGTGCGGTAAAGTGCACTTTACCGCATGTTTTTGAAAATGGAAAGTATCACTTTACCGCACACTATGCGGTAAAGTTAACTTTACAGCATAGTGTGCGGTAAAGTTAACTTTACAGCATACTATGCGGTAAAGTGCACTTTACCGAACACTTTGTAGTCCACTTTACCGCATAGTGTGCGGTAAAGTAGAATTTGATATTTTTAATCAAATTTGCTTTCTTTTTCAGAAAATGGATTTTTGATCTTTTCTAAATTCAATCTTATTCCATTAATTAATTTGATTCATTAATTAATTTTATCAATGCTTTTTTTGGCTGCTCATAGTTAAAATTTTGTACCTAACACATGCGGAAAGTGCCTTTACCGCCCTTAACGGCTTGACCGAACTCCGCTTCGCGTCGTTCGGTCAACTGCCGTTGCGTGCGGTAAAGTATCACTTTCCGCATTTGTTAGGTAAATAACTATTGCCTAATTTGTCTATTTTCATTCACGTTTATTTTTGTTTTGTTTCAGTGGTCGCAAACGTAGATCCGGTAGGTCTGGTAGATCCCAATCCCGATTCCTCGAAGCACTTTTCAACCAGTCGGACGAGGATCAGGGTGATCCGCAAGCCGAACTGATCCTGCCGAACACTTACGAAGACCTGTTCTACGACTATAAAAAGTAAACGGAAACAAGCAATCGACGATCACGTGGCCATTGATACTTAAATTTTTTGTATTTTTCGTTGTAACTTTGTGTTGATTTGGTTGGCAGAAGATTTTCAAGAAAAAGATCTCGAAAAATCCTGCTTCGCAGTTACTTTCCTATTTAAATATTAGGTTTAGAGACTGAAAGAAGTTGTGCTAATTTTGAAGGATCATCAATCAAACAAAACTAAGAAGAATTTTTTTTTGTAGAAGTGTGCAATTATGTATTAAGCACCTACTTCTTCTATTTTAATATTTATATTATAAGCCGAAGATATATCGGATTTTTGACATTCCAAAAAATTGCTTGAATAAAAATGGAAGACATCGAGCAGCAAGCAATATCTGAAATCTATTACCATTTTTGATGTCATCACCTCTTGCGTAGGTCTATGAAGGTATCTTCACTTAAATTAAGTTGTGTTGATGGGAGATGTTCTAAAAATGGTAAATAACAGATTATTAATCAAAAAGTTTTTTTTTATTCGAATCTCATTTATATTTTCTTTGTATTGTGTTCTTTCCTTTTAACATCTCCCCTAGTCATTGATTGAAATTATCAGTATTACTAAGTATACGATCTAATTATATTTGTTATAAAAAAAAAATCTAGTCTTTATTATAAGTAAATTATTTTTAGTTTAAGTAATATCTTTAGGCCATAAATTGTGTCTTCTCAAAGCAAAAATTAATATAAGTAATTTATTACAAAAATATTATTTCATTGTATTCCTAATTTAGTAATAATATCCTTTTTGGCTTTGAGAAAACTGAAAAGTTAAATAGTAATAAAATAGTAAGTAATAATCATGAGATTTAAAAGCGGTTGTGCATATCGAAAATATATTACAAAATAAAAATATAAATTAAATGCAGCAGTTATAGAATGTAAATATGTATTTTTTTTTTTTAAATGTTAAAATATGTATTATTGTAATTATGGATTGTGCGTACAATGTTTTGTTGAAATTGTCTGTATGTTGTTTTTTTTTTAATTATTATTAAGTATTTATTTGTATTTTATTAATTTATTTTTTTTATATTTAAATATAAACTGCTCTGTCGTTAACTTTTGGTGTTTTTAGCCTTTTCTTGATGTTAACAGGAGTTATTAATAAAGTAAAGATTCTTGACATAAGGCCCAAGCGCTGGCTAGTAAGTTAATGCCCATACAAGAACATTGTGTAACCGAACTGCAACCACCAATATAAAGATGCAGCTCGGGTTCCTAGATACTGTATAATTTATGCGCCAGCACATTTCACAGACAGGGATGTTTTGAGGAACAAGGGACAACGGACCCTTTCTTGCTGCGATTGCGTTATGCGAAACAGTTGGTCAACACGACAAAAATACGCTCTCGAGTATTTTCTTATTGTCTATCACTATAATAATAATTATGTTAAATAAACTATATTTCTTTTCTTGAATAAACTATCTTCAATTCACAGTTCAGGTGCGGGATAAACTAATGGTGGTTTAGGTAGGGATTCGTTCGTGTTAGGTGTACCTTCCCAAGACCATCACATACTTTGTGCCTGTGTAGTGTCCTGTAGTGCGTCTTAATGATGGGTCGTAAAAGATATTCGCGTAGTAGCTCAAGTTGAAGCGGAACCTCAAGTGATTCAGACTCTTCTTCTGGAAAATATAAAAGGAAATCAAGCCGCAAGTGCTCTTATGATAAACCCTTATACGGGGGTAAGTCAAAAAGGAACAACGGTGATCCATCCATAAAGGAGAAACAGTAATGTGTGCCTCAAAGTGCGGATGTAGGCACTGTTGGTTAGTGATCCAGTGATCGTGGTACTACTCCCCCTCTAACAAACCAGGTTATTCTAAGTTGAGAGCAACATACCCACTGAACATGCAATGTTACGAAAGCCTAATGCAATATTACTCTGATCTTAGTTTCGCAACATTCCAATGTAGTATTGAATTATTTTTGACACAATATTACATTAATAAATTACAAAATGGAATATCCTTGAAATTTTAACGCATATTAGAAATTATAACTTGTACGCAAATTACCATTGTAAATATACATTTAAATTGAACTGGTATAATTTTTGCAATGTTATAATAACTACCAAATGTAAACTTGCTGCAATATAGCAGAAATAATACATTGGAAAATCGAAAGCTTTGCGGCCATTAATAACGATAGGAACGACATCGGGGATACGAACTAAACCGAAAGCAAATCGACGCCATCAAGTCGCTGCTTGTCGTTTGAGTTGAGTGCTGTGTCTGCTTGTTGAATGTTGTGTCTGTGATAAAGCGAATTTCGGCTAAATTTTTGGTGTTTATGTTTGGATTATGTACTTATTGGATCGATTCAGGTAGTGCTTTGCTTTTTGGTTATTTTTATTATTCAGTTTTTATTTTAGAACTTAGAACCTGTGGAAATGAAATAAATATACAGCGATTACAATGGATGAGGATTCAAATAAGGTGAGTAAAGGTTGCATAGTCAAATACTTTTTACAAAAATACTGCGGAATGGGGGGCCCCTTTTTTGTAAACCGTAACCTCTTTTTTTTCATACCTACAAATCCCGTATTATTATTATATTACTTATGATTTTACGATAATATTTTAGTTAGAATCAAAAATATCGTAAACCGTTTGGTAAGTAATGTCCAGAAAGAAAGTGGCTACGACGAGGAATAAATAATAAAAATACAGAACTACTCCCTGATTTTGTTTTTGTTTCAGGTGACAATATAAGTATCAGCTGTGGTAGCAGCCAGTACCTACTTCGTCCTGTGTGTCAACCAATCTAAAATTTCGCTTTTTTTTTCTGTTTAGAATTTTCATTTATTTTGCTTTGAGATATTAAGTACTTTTTACGTTTTGTTTTTCACCTAAGTATATTTTTTTATTGTGAGTATTATAGATATACATAATATACCAACCTTTTTATTTTTTTTTCCAAAAACTTGTACTTTTATTCATAATAAAATATCTACCTAATATGATTATAGGTTTCAGGCACAAATTTTAACAGCTTGTTTTTAGAACAAGCTGTTAGAGTTTATGCACCGCAACTCAAATCTCTCTGTATAGTACATACATAGTATTTACAGTTGCAACATTACTTTTTTATTGCAATAAAGTTGCGAACCCAATATATTTGTAATAAAAATGCAATATTGCAGTAAACTTACTAATAAATTGCAAGTAACCCTAAGGTATATTCGAATTTGTAACCTTACACTTGTAAGTTTGCTGAAGTTTTGATCTAATATTCCAGTAATATTGCTGAGAGGTTATCATATATAAACCTTGCATTTGTAATATTACCCTAAGGTTGTTTCAGTACTTGCCGCAATACTGCGTTAACATTACAGTAAACTTTAATATAACCTTACAAGTTTACAGTGTAATGTTACCTCACCATTACTGTAATCTTATTTTGTTCAGTGGGTAGCCAGTACTTCAACAGAATTCAATAATTGATGAGCCTGTTGAACGCCTTTAGAAATTATTAGAGATTTTGTTAGGCAGGAACCACAAACGAAATTTAGGCGTTTATCTATCCGAAGTGAGTGCATTCCAGAATTTGATCCTGAGAATGAAAACTTATCGGCCGTAGCTTGGTTAGACAAGATTGACCAAATTAAAAATATTAATAAATGGGATGATGTTACGACAATCTACCAGGTGCAATCTCGATTTGGTGGTATGGCCCGAAATTGGTATAATGGATTACAACAATATCTCAGTTTTTGGATAGAATGGAGAACATTGATTTCTCAAACTTTTCCTGATCATGTTGATTACGCCATGGCATCAAGGAAAATGATGGGATGGACAAAAGAGAGAGGAGAAACTATGGCCAACTATTTCTTCAGTGAGATGGAATTACTAAAGACGTGCCAAATAATTGGGAAAAATGCAGTTTCCTGCATCATTGATAGCCTTACCGATATTCGTGTCCAAAATGGTGCAAGAGTAGACCATTACGTCACGCCACAAGCTCTGTATCAGGAATATTTGTCGACGTTACGTGAGAACAAATAGGCAGGTTCGACATTTTTTTATTTTAACTGAAATCGAGAGGTTTTGTTATCAAAAAACGATTAAAAAAAGATTGAGCGCAAAATATTAATATTTGCGTTCGTTGCGAGCAGGATAAAAAACGTACCTGTACGCGAGACTAGGCCGCGTGACGTCAGTAGCCGGCACACCATGTGAATTCGTATACTTTCCGTAGAAGCCTTTACGCAAAACGCTGATCCGATCACAAGCTATCTGTTTTTCATCTTTCTTCAATGAACATGATTGAAAAAAGACAAATTACATCAGGTGGTGATTGGGTTAATCGAATCAGCGTTTGCGTAAAGGCCGATACGGAGGGTATATGAATTCACGTGGCGTACCCGGCTACTGACGTCATGCATCCTAGTCTTGCGTAGGGGTACGTTTTTTATCCTGGCGCCGATCGTTGATTTTTAACTGCTTGCAACAAACGCAAATATTAATATTTTGCTCTCAATTTTTTTTTTATCGTTTTCTAATAATAAAATCTCTCGATTTTGATTCAAATAAAAGAATAACAAAAAATGTCGAACCTTCCTATTGGACAAATCAGAAACGAGTGCAACTCAAAGAAAATTATCCACCAACAGAATGGAGCGACGCACCGAAGTTAGGTGATATTAAGAATGTGCAGTGCTTTAATTGCAAGACAAGGGGGCATTACCAGTCCGATTGTCTAAAACAGAAGATGTTTCGTCGAAAATGCAATTTATTGGGTCACGAAGCCAACAATTGCAGAGTGTCAGGAAAATTTGAAAGCCGCTCAGAACAACCACCAAGAAAGCCTTTAATTAACATTGTACAAATACCTGACACCTGAATGAATCAAATACTTGTTATATTATTAATTGCATGATTAATGGCCATCCTATTAGAGGTTATATTGATTCTGGCTGTGGAGCAGTATCTATTAAACAGTCAGATGTAAAGAAGGTGGATTTACTTTGTGAACCAGCTTCAGCCTGGTTACGTGGTTTTGGTGGTGGTACTGTGCACGTAAGCAATAAAGTGACGACACAGTTAACGGTGGACCTAGCTTCCGCTAAGGTAGAAGTGTTCGTAGTCCCTGATAATGTAGAAAAAGTCTCTATAATCGTGGGACAACCATTTATTAACTACAAAAATGTTACGGTTGTCATTCATGATAATCAGGTTCGGTTGTTTAATAATGATGAAAGTTTCTTCCCAAACTTAAACATTTTACCGCCAAAAAAGATAAATCTGTATGCCGCCGAGACAACCGCTATACCTTCTCATTAGTTCTCATCATATAAGGCATATTTTAGAATTGAATGATGAAACTCGCGGTAATGTTTTCATTGATTTACAGTATAGGAATATCCCCAATCCAGAACATATTATAATTCCGCGCTGTGTGACAAATTTAAATCAAAGTTGTTATATTCCAATATTCCATTCTTCAGATCAGGACTTATGTTACGAAAATGATAGGATAGTAGTTAGGGGCTACACTTGTTACGAAGAAATTGATACCTTTGTTTCTATATTAACAACTGCAGTTACGAAATTCAGACTAAATTTTCTGAATGAAGATATTCAAAACCAAACCAATCCAAAACTCAATAGTACCGATTTTAAACAGGTATTAGACCTTCTTGAATATCGTCATTGTTTTGCCACAAATGTACACGAGATTGGAAAAACAAAATCCGCAGAAATGAGGAAATCCCTAACTGATGATATTCCTATTACATATCGCCCTTATCGCATGGCATTTTCTGAGAGGAAACTCGTAAGAGGAATAGTTCACGACCTCATGAAAAATGATAATATCCGTGTCTCATCTTCACCTTATGCAAGTCCCGTCCTACTGGTGAAAAATAAGAATGGTGAGCCGCGCATGTGCATAGATTATAGAGCCTTAAATCGTAAAACGCTGAAAGATAAATACCTACCTATTGCCAAGGATCGAAGATCTCCTGGACTCTCCAAGGTCACATCTATTTTACGTCCCTAGACCTAGCATCTGAATACCATCAGATCCCATTGAATGATGAATCAATTCCGAAGACCAGTGTAATACCAGATGGACACTACGAGCTCTTGGGAATGCCATTTGGACTTGTAAATGCTCCCGCGGTTTTTCAGAGAACAATAAACCAAGTATTGGGCTCTTTGCGATTCGAAACAGCTATGGCATATTTGGACGACGTATTAATACCGTCAATATCATTACCAGATTGATTTAAAAACTGAAACAGATACTAAATATCTTTAGAGAAACCGGTTTTACACTTAGGTTAAATAAGTGCTATTTCCTTCAAAAGAACATAGAATATTTCGGACATGAAGTATCTAATATCGATATGCATCCTGGTGTGGATAAAATTGAAGCCGTGGCTGAATTTCCAACACCCAATAACGTTCATG